AAGGTGGAGATTATGAGCAAAAACTCTAGAGTCAGACTAAGTTCAAATCCCGACTCCACCCTGACTTGTGCAACCTTCAGCAAGTTACTGTTTCTGTGACTGTTGCCTCACCTGGATATGGGCATAATACTAACCATCCACAGGGCTGATGTGAGGACTGTGAGTTAATACAAGTAAAATTCTTAGACCTGTGACGGGTATATGTAGCAAACACATAATACGTATTAGCTATTATTATGAGTGGCACTAATTATTCCATTTTTGCAGGTGAAAGAAATGAGGCATCAGACAGATAACTTATAAGTTCTCAAAGTTTAAAGTGGTAAAGCCAGGCTGGGTGCAGTGGCATGTGCCTGTAATCACAGCAGCTCATGAGAGCAAGGCAGGGGGATCTGAGTCCAGGAGTTGGAGGTTTTGGTGAGCTATGATAATGCCACTGCACTTCAACCTGGGCAACATGGCAAGACCCTGTCAATCAAGCAAGCAGTACAGCCAGAAGTTGAACTTCATTGTTGGTACTCCTGACTACGATACTGTTTTCAAAAGTTAAAAAAAAAAAGTGGCATTTGGACTTTAACCCTATCCTCAAGTAACATAATTAAGGATATTTACAAATGAACTCAAACACAGGAGAGGGAAAAAGGAAATGATCTTTTTTTTTTTAAGTTTTTTGAGACAGGGTCTCCCTTTGTCACCCAGGTTGGGATGTGTGGTGTGATCATGGCTCACTACAGCCTCAATATCCTGAGCTCAAGTGATCCTCTTGCCTCAGCCTCCAGAGTAGCTGGGACCACAAGTGCATGCCACCATATGTGGTTAATTCTTAGAAATTTTTTGTAGAGGCAGGGTCTCACCATGTTGCCCAGGCTGGTCTTGACCTTCTGGGCTCCAGTAAGAAGCCTTCCACCCCAGCCTCCCAAAGTGCTGGGATTACAGGCATAAGCCCCCGTGCCCAGCTTGTTTCATGTCTTTAGAATGTTAGCTTGCAGGATAACTAGATATCTAGAGAAGGCTGAGAAAAGTCACATCATTATGTTGTAGTGGAAAAAAAAAATTCTCTTTGCCTTAATTGGAAATTTTACCTTTCCAAGAATAAGATTTTTAAAAACTGAATTGATGCTGTCAATCTCATTTCTTTCTCTTTTTTTTTTTTTGAGATGGAGATCGCTCTTGTCACCCAGGCTGGAGTGCAATGGCACAGTCACGTCTCACTGCAACCTCTGCCTCACAGACAGGTTCAAGCAATTCTCCTGCCTCAGCTTCCTGCCTCAGCCTCCTGAGTAGCTGGAATTACAGGCACCTGCCACCCTACCTGACTAATTTTTGTATTTTTAGCAGAGATAGGATTTTACCATGTTGCTCAGGCTAGTCTCAAACTCCTGACCTCAGCTGATCCACCCACCTTGGCCTCCAAAAGTGCTGGGATTACAGGCGTCAGCCACCACTCTTGGCCTGTCAATGTCATTTCTGATGTCAATCTCACTTCTGATTTGAGGGAAAACAAATACAAAACATTTATCATACTTAGAAAAGCAGAAATATAACTGCAGAAGAGACGTATGTTAGTTAGAAGAGACAGTTAACAGTTAGCTGAGCCTACTGAAAACAGGCGAGTGTATCTCTCCTCATTTATAAATGGTGAGTATACATTAGTAAGCCTAAATTTTAAAAAAGGGGAAGTAATTATATATGTAGCATTCAAACAACGGCGCTGTCCAAATCAGTTCATAAGCCACACTGAAAACTTTCTCAATGAGAAAGACTAGAACACAGTTGTTGATAAGGTTGTACAGCTTATTATTTCAGTCATATGCTATTACTGATAGTACTGGTACCATGTTTCTGAGACAAGGTCTCATTCTCTTCCCCAGGTTAGAGTAGTGTGGTGCAAACACGGCTCACTGCAGCTTCAACCTCCTGGGCCCAAGCATGCCTCCTACCTCAGCCCTCCGAGTAGCTGGGACCACAGGCACACATCACCATGACTGGTAATTTTACTTTTTTGTAGAGATGGGGTCTCACCATGTTGCCCAGGCTGGTCTTGAACTCCTGGGCTCAAATGATCCTCCCTCCTTGGCCTCCCAAAGTCCTGGGATTACAGGCATGAGCCACGTGCTAGGCCTCATTCAACAGATACTTATTGCTCACCTATCACAGTTCTAGGAGATGAGGGTGAGGTGGTGAACAACACAAAGCCCTGCTTTCATAGAGCTTACACCGCAGGGAAGCATTACAAAGAAGAAACTGCGGCTCAGTTACCCGCTCTGTCAGACTCTAAAGCCTATACCATATCTTTGAAGCACATCATCTCTCAGTGGATACAGCTTTGCCCTAAAATATATGCCTGAACATGCACTCCTGACACTACAGTCTAGCACAGTTTAAGCTTTCTGTGTGTTGCCGGTCCAGTGACATCTTCTCAAGTGTTCCTCCCCCAACTCTCTAACTATAAAAACTGCCCTATCAGCGGTAAATATATCATACTGACATGTATAAACTACCCTCTCTCTCTCATTAATCCCTAAACTACCTGAGGGCAAGAACTGTGTCTTAGCCATCTTTGTAAGTCTAGAAGATGATATACACAGTAGATATTCAAAAAATCGTTGAGAGGAATTAATGAGAGTAGTTTCAACAGAGTTGAGGGTAGAAGCCAGTGTGCAATGAACTAAGGAGTAAATGGAGAAGCATGTAGAGTCTGCTTCTTAAGGCTAAGTCTAGAAATGAAAAGTAGGATAAATGGTAGTAATTTGAAGGAAAATTATGATCACAGGAAAGTTTCATTTTTTTTTTATGAATGAGAAACACTTGAACACAGTTGTTGATTAGGTAGTACAGCAGAGTCAAAAGAGCAGAATTTAGAGTCTGTTAGACTTGAATTCTGGCCCTGTCACTTATAGTGACCTGAGACAACTACAGTGTCTGCTAAACAGAAGGTATTCAATAAACGGTTTCAATGATTTTTACTATAGGTAGGAGCCTGGACATTGGTGTTCTGACCCCTCCCACATATCTTGTGCTCTAGTCTAGATTCTCTACATGTGTGTGTGTGTGTGTGTGTGTGTGTGTGTGTGATGGCAAAGAAACAGGATCTCTTTTGCTTCTGTAACACCCATTGTGCTATTCCCATTTCCTTGTGAGTCTGGATGAGCTCATGAATGGCTGCTGTGGAAAATTACTGACGTCACCAGCTGAATAAAGACTATCTGGAGGAGAGTAAGCAGATGAAACAGATGTTAAATTATCAAATGTACAAGATTTTGGGTTTCTGCCAAAACCTTCATTGAGAACTAAGAAGAGAAAAACTGAAAACACAGAGAACTTTTTTTTTAAGCTTCTGAGCCAGCAAGGTGTTCTCACATTCACTCCAGGCACAGAAACGTGGTAAAACGAAAGAGATGATTATCTCCTCAGTTCCCGTCTCAATATTTCACCCTAACGTGGGGTTCATTTCTGTGAGGTTCTACCCCAGTTCACTTTTCTATTAACCTGACACTTCCCAGATTCACGAGGTATGCATTTTTATATTGAAGCAATTATTTGTCCACAGTCTTCTAATGTTCTGGTCATGAGTTATGTTCACCTATTATCCGTGTCTGAACAACACCTCACCCTCTCCCCTCCCTCCCAGGCCACACACCTCCACACTTAAAAAGGGACAGGGAGAAGAATTAAAACTCAGGCTAATGTGACAATTAGGGATGAAAACGCCACATTCACTTAGGATTAACAAAAGCCAGGAAAGATATCGATCTACAGAATTACAAATTAATTGGGCTGGAGACGGTGGCTCAAGCCTGTAATCCCAGCACTTTGGGAGGCCCAGGCGGGCGGATCACCTGTAGTCAGGAGTTGAAACCAGCCTGGCCAACATAGCAAAAACCCATCTCTACTAAAAATACAAAAATTAGCTGGGCATGGTGGCAGGCGCCTGTAATTCCAGCTACTCGGGAAGCTGAGGCGGGAGAATCGCTTGAACCCGGGAGGCAGAGGTTGCAGTGAGCTAAGCCGAGATCACGGCATTGCAATCCAGCCTGGGTGACAAGAGCGAAACTGTCTCAAAATAAAGAAAGAAAGAAATACATACATACATACAAATTAATCACCAAGAACAGAAATGGTGTAAAGCAAAGATGTAATCCAATTGTTTGGAGTTGCAGAGAGAATTGGAACTAAGAGATGAGCAAAAAAAGTAGGAAATTTATGCGCCTACAAACCTAATCACAAACATGTCAGTGTGGAATATTCCAAGACATCTCCATCCCACCAGAAAAACACACAAAAAGGAGCCATCAACCTACCACAAATGTACAGCGCGAGACTGGAAGATACCCTAGTCACCCAGTCACTGAAAACAACCTTTCGAATATCTTTATTTTTCTCTCCAAATAAAAAAGAGCCTAGATCAGTAAGCTAAGTATGAGGATAATTTCCAAAATTCCAGTCCTAACCACACCGGGTGATTCCGGCTAACGTATGCCTCAGTTTCCCCCGTGCTAAAATGCAGACACACCGCTGTTCCGAGTCTCAGCCTGATTGGAGCTCGGGTTCTGCACCTGGATCTGAATCCTCACGGGAAAGCCGCAAGTTAACCTGAGGAGGAGTCGGCAGCTGTCCCGGTGCCGGAGCCAGCCAGACTTTTTTTAAAAGCCCCCCCGCATCAGGCGCGGTTTCTGGAAAACCGCTCCCGAATGCCAGCGCGGTAAATTCCGGCTCGCGCCCCGGACACCTGAGGTGGCCTCAGCCGTCTAGGGGCAGCCGGCCCGGGGGACGCAGCCGACCTCCCCGCCCCGCCGCGCCCCCGGGCCCCCATTCCACCTGCGGCGCAAGCGAGGTCGGCCCCGCGGCTCTCCGGCCCGAGGCGGTGCTTCTCTCTCGCCGGCGCCTTCGGCCCGTGAGTCCCTCGGTCTGACAGTCCGACCACAGCTGCCCCGCATCCCCCGCCTGAGGGAAAGGTGTGGGCGCCGGCGAGTCCCCGCCGACTCCCGCCCGGCACTCACCTGCCCCGCTGGCCACCTCAGCGCCAATCCAGGTCGGGTTAGCAGCTTCCAGGCTCGCACCGTCAGGGTTTAGCGGCGTCTACGCGCACGCGCGGCGGGGCGGGGCACGTGCGACCGCGAGGCATGCTGGGGGCTGTAGTTGTTCCCGCCCACTTGGCGGGACGCGGCCGGAAGCTCTGCGCCCCATTCCCAAGGCCGGCACGCATAGCGATGCTTTCCTCTCGTCTGCACCGCAGCCTGAGCAGCTTAGGACAGTAGGGTGTGGACCAGCAGTCAGGGTGGGAGATAGACGGTGCAAATCACTTGCTAATTTTCTAAATATTTTTCATCTAGGCCAGGCACGGGGACTGATGCCTGTAATCCCAGCACTTTGAGAGGCCTAGGCGGGCGGATCGCTTGAGCCCGGGAGTTTGAGACCACTCTGGCCAACAAGGCGAAAGCCCGTCTCTATTAAATATACAAGAATTAACTGGGCATAGTGGTGCGCAGCTATACGAGAGGCTGAGGTGGGAGAATTGTCTGAGCCTAGGAGGTAGAAGTTGCAGTCGGCCCAGATTGCGACGCTGCACTTCAGCCTGGGCCAAAGTGAGAACTCGCTCTTAAAAAAAAAAAAAAAAAAAGAGTGAGAAACCAAGACACAAAACTATTACAAAGCTGTTTATTTAAATAAAAATTGTTTAAAACTCTAACTCATTCTCCATTCTCTGGTTCAAGAGAACCTGAGGTGGCCTCGGCCGTCTAGGGGCAGCTGGCCCGGGGGATTCAGCCGATGCAGAACCAGAATTCACTTAAACCAGAGAATGAGGAATGAGTTCAAGGTGTACTCTCCTCCGTGGCAGGCGAATCTAACAGCAGCATTCTCAGGTCAGTTTGCTCCCTCACTGACAACACGGAATGGGAAGGTTGGTGAGTCCTCCTGCGCCCAGGAAGGAAAGCGAATTTTTTTTTTCTTTCTTTTGAGACTGAGTCTCTCGCTCTGTCACCCAGGCTGGAGTATAGTGGCGCGATCTCAGCTCACTGCAACCTCTGCTTCCTGGGTTCAAGCTATTCTCGTGCCTCAGCCTCCCTAGCACCTGGGACTACAGGTGGACACACACCACCCTGCCCAGCCGGAAAACAAAATTTTCTGAGTACCTTCTGTGTCAGATCCTATGCTGTGCAATTCCTGTCTCACGTCTCACCCTCACATCCATCCAGGGTTCATTTCACCATTCATGGCTCCTAACCCTTGTGCTTCCACTAAAGCTATGTTTACAAATATCAGGCTCTCCTCTCCTGGGTTTTGTTTTTGTTTTTGAGAGGGAGTCTAGCTCTGTCACCCAGCCTGGAGTGATGTGGGCTCGCTGCAACCTCTGTCTCCCATGTTCAAACAATTCTCCTGCCTCAGCCTCCTGAGTAGCTGGGATTACAGGCACCCGCCACCACACCCAGCTAATTTTTGTATTTTTAGTAGAGATGGGGTTTCACTGTGTTGGCCAAGCTGGTTTCTAACTCCTGACCTCGTGATCTGCTCACCTCGGCCTCCAAAAGTGCTGGGATTACAAGTGTGAGCCACTGGGCCCGGCCCTCTCCTGGTTCTTAAATGAAACTGAGCATCAGCCAGGGAGAGGGCACTAAGTTCCCAGGTGTCTGACTGCAGCTAAACAGAAATTTCAACAGTTCTGCCCACAACCTGACATCTGGGTAGTTCTGATGCTAGAGTTTGCATGAATTTAAACCAATCTTAAATACAACAGCATGAGTTAACATAGGGAGACCCTGTCTCTACAAAAAACAACAAAAAATTAGCCAGGTGTGGTTGTGTGTGCCACAGTCCCAGCTACTCAAGAGGCTGAGGTGAGAGGATCGCTTGAGCTCAGGAAATCCAGGGTGCAGTGACCTGTGATCACACCACTGCACTCCAGCCTGGGCAACAGAGCGAGATCCTGTCATTCGTATATATATAAAAAATATGTTTTCCAGTGAGTATGCAGGCCACCCAAATACATCTAATTAAAATGTTACCTAGGGAAATCAGATTACAAAGTTGCATACAATGTGTAAATACAAAAACAAAGGAGAAAGGAAAAGGAAAGACAGAGATACACCAACAAACCCACCTATCTAGATAGTCCAGGAAGAAACCAGGCCAAACTGCCAATCACTAGAGATCATGAGTCTAACAGAATTGTTAGACAAGACTGTTATATTTCCTTATTCTGTATGAGGAAATGTATTAACTAAAATCCATGGTATCCTATATCCCCAGTATGTCTGGTATGTAAGATAAATTCTCAGATTACAGATAAACTGATAGTAACTGCCGTCTGGAAGTCGCCCATACCAGAGAAGGAAGCAAAGTATCTGGTCAGAGTCCAATGGCTTAACTTCCTTATATCAGACTTAGTATCTTTTCAAGATTTTTAAGAGATGAATAGAGTAACTCTTTCTGGAAGTCGAACAAATGGCTTTATGCTATCCCTGCTTGCTTGCTATACTAGGCTATATTCAGAATTTGGTTTTCAGAATTGCCTTCTAATGGTTTTTCCCAATAGGTTGAGCTCTTCTCTTCTGGCTTTAAGTGACAAAGTCTCACTATGTCACCCAGCCTGGACTGAACTCCTGGGCTCAAGTGGCCCTATTGCCTCAGCTTCCCAAGTAGCTGGGACTGTAAGTGCACATCATTGCAACTTGCTTTTCTTTTTTTTTTTTTTTTTTTTTTTTAGACGGAGTTTCGCTCTTGTTACCCAGGCTGGAGTGCAATGGCGCGATCTCGGCTCACTGCAACCTCCGCCTCCTGGGTTCAGGCAATTCTCCTGCCTCAGCCTCCTGAGTAGCTGGGATTACAGGCACGCGCTACCATACCCAGCTAATTGTTGTATTTTTAGTAGAGACGGGGTTTCACCGTGTTGACCAGGATGGTCTCGATCTCTTGACCTTGTGATCCACCCGCCTCGGCCTCCCAAAGTGCTGGGATTACAGGCTTGAGCCACCGCGCCCGGCCTGCAACTTGCTTTTCTACCTACTTTTAGATAAAACTGGAACCGATTCGTCCTCCCCTCCCTCACAACATTCCTAACAACTAGGCAATCTTCCAGCTTCTGACTGACGTGGGAGATTGAGGGTAGGTCGCTAAACTCGGCGGTTCCAATCTCTGGGCCCAGACCAGTCTCAGAGCCTTAATAATGGGTATTGATTTCAGTGTGTCTCTTGGGGTAACACACAGTCAAGTCACTCTTCCTCCACACAGCAATATTTGAAGTGCCGACAGGTTTTCTCCTGTAGAGGATAAAGGGCCTTAGCAATCCTCCACCACCTCTTTGGAGGTTGGCTCTCCAGTTCACCTCTGTTCCTCAGACTGGTTATCCAAAATTGAACCTAATGACAAGAGCGTGGAGCTGTAAGCCTCTGGTGGCTTTTGGGCACTGGACAACATTGACACATCCTAAAACAGTCTTCTCTCAGTTCTGATGCATACTGAGTTTAAGATGAACTTATTTACATTTATTTCTTCCTCTTAGTTTAGGGCACATCATTTCAGCCTACTTAGGTTAGAGATGAAAACTTATTTTGCCCAATAAATGTACTTGTTAATTCTCCCAGTTTTGTGTCATCTGCAAATCTGATAAAGCTTTCATCTTCATCTAAGCTGAAAAATACATAGGATGTGAATGGGCTAACACTAGTGCTCTCCTTGCAGGTAGGTAATTAACTCAATCTTTGGCTACAGTTGCTTCAATCAGCTATAAATCCATGCAGCAAGGAAGTCAGGTGCCGTGGCTCACGCCTATAATCGAAGCACTTTGGGGGTCTGAGGTGGGCGGATCACTTGAGGAATTCAAGACCAGCCTGGCCAATACGGCAAAACCTCTTCCCTATTAAAAATAGAAAAATTAGCCAGGGGTGATGGCGGGTGCCTGTCATCCCAACTACTTGGGAGGCAGAGGTTGTGAGACTGTGCTACAGCACTCTAGACTGGGTGACAGCAAGACTCAACAACAAAGTCCATGCAACAAGGAATAAAGACTGTCAGGTGCCCTGATGAAATCAATAGACTCAATTAGCATTTCCCTGATATATAAGCCTCATCAAAAGATGAAATGAGGCTGGGCTCAACTTTAGCTGAGTAACCCTTATGAATCACATCAGGGTTTGTTTTTTTGTTGTTGTTTATATTTTTTACGTATTTGTTGTAGTTCCAAACTTCATTACTTATTCTAGCCAAAAATAATGTAAATAAAAGGTTGACTCAATCACTGAGTCCAGGTTATTTTGCTAGACCTAGATCAAATTCACTTGTAGAAGACAGTACCAGAAATTTCATGCTACTTTATAAGCAAATGAACACATGAAAAGGACTAAACAAGGCAGCTGGAAAATATGCCTTGAAAGAACAGAGATCAAGTATGAACTACATTTATTATGCAAGTTTGTGTTGTTGTAAACAACAGAGTAAACTTCAATGCACGTTGTTTCTGCATTGTTGAGAAATGTGGGACCTTGAGAAATGGGAAAGCAACATGGAAGAAGAAAATGCTGTATTAATTTAAGGTAACATTCTTGACGTAAAATAAGGCATTACAGTAACAGAATTTTCATGCCTCAGCAATTCACAATGATTTTTCGTTTAATTCTCTTCCAACTCTACAGACATAATTCTGCTTTGACCTTCATCACACTTTCATACGGTTTTAACAGGGGATACACCTCCTCTTCTAAGAATCTCTGCACCTGCCAGAGGAAAGCAAATACAAAAGAAAACGTTAAGATATTAACGGATAATACCTTTTCCAATGTCAGGTGATACCACTGAAACCTAATTTGATAAGCTTTTACTCCACCAGAGCTTGTTTTCCTCAACTGCCTATCAGGAATTTCTGCCTAGACACACGTGATTTAACCCACCATGCCCACATGACCACCAACCTCTCCCGCAAACTAGCCCAGCCTGTGTTCTCTCAGGTGGTTTCACCATTTCCATCCAATCTAAAAATCATCACGGCTTCTTTCCTCCTGGTTTTCAGCCCTCTTCAAGTAGCCACGAGGAGTTCATCCTCCTCTCCCTCCCCGGTCTGCATCTCCCCACCACCTTCGCCATCTNGCTTCTTTCCTCCTGGTTTTCAG